ATAATAATAATAATAATAATAATATAATAATAATAATAAAAAGTTTAATTGCACATTGTGCACTATCCCAATCAATTAATTTCGGCCTTCTTCGCATGTGTAGAGTGACAGCGAAAAGCCTTACAACTAACAAAATTATAAAGCAAACGACAGACACCAGTCACGTTTATTTTATCAAATTACTTATTTTACATAGGAGAAACAGCCCTGGTATTTCCTTCTTTAGCTAACTCCGCTGACAATAGGCGAAGAAAGTCCAGTGTTGTTCACAATGGCTCGTTTAGATTATCAAATTTTCCTCAAGGACTCCTCTCATGTTCCTTCATTTCATTACAGTTACAGGTAGATCTACATAATGTAAGCCTGTAAATAATGCGCTCGTTTCACCAACTCGGAAGTGTGATTCCTCAAATGCCCAGTGGATTCTCCTGGTCAAGAAGTACCGTGTTCACCTCTCATTCATTAGGTCCCGGGTTCGGAAACATGTTTTCCTCTAAAATTTCCTTCTTTCACCTCCTTTCCTGCTCTCTAACCTAACCATGTTCTTTTGTCTCTACTTTCTGCCCTCTCCTATGGGCTCCTGGCTCTTTCAGCAGCCTTTCTATTGCTACTCTTTGGCTCCTTCTTACTGCTGTCTTTCAGCCACACTAATGATCTTAAGGTAGGTAAGATCTAATATCTCGCCTTCTCGGATATGGGCAAAAAATCTCGGAGTTCCTATAAATAAGCGTCCCTGCCAGTCAAAATCAGTCATATGAAGGAAATTTTAAAACTAAGTTAACATTATTTTCAAAAACTATCACCTTTCCCTAACATTTTTTTAAAATGACGTAATTATGACAATATTTGAAGAAAATACGGAACTTTTAATTGTTCTAGGTGAGGAAACACGAAAAGGAAAAAATGGCTTCCGAAGTTGAGCAACATGTTTCCACATGCGGATAACTTGAGAACGACAGATGTAAGCCATTGGCCGATATTTATAGTAACAGCCATCTTGTTTGACGTCATTGGGGGATTCCCACTTTGTTGTCGTTCACGGTGGCAACATGACCGCAAAGCACTATTGCAGTATTTTTTAAGCCAGTAGCATGCAGTGGCGTGGTGGTGGAGTGGTTAGTGCGCTTGTCTCCAAAGCAGAAAGTCCAGGTTCGGGCCTCGGTTCGGCCAAAGATTTCGTTTTTTCCGCCCCCTCCTGAAAAGTAACTGTTCGTTCTATTGGTACCCTTTTTAGCCAGTATTTTACACATCTCGTGTTAAAAAGGGTCTTTGAAAACTTAGATGCTTTTCAAAGGCCAAAGGCTTTCTATCCAAACGCCAAATTCCAAAAATATACCACGAGAAACCACGCTCAAAGCTGTATAGTTCTCCGACAACGAAAAGACGGTATTTAATCATCAATCTTTCTGCAACGCATTAGAATGCATGGGTGTCAATTTTGAACTGGCCGACCTCGCATTCCAACCTCAAGGGGCTTCCGTTCCCACGGCAATTCTCTAGCTCCAAATAATCGGATATACAAACAACTTACATTATTGTAACGAACAAAATCTGAACTTTTCAAAGGTGTACATCATAATTTGGTGTTTTATAGCAAAAGAGCAAAGAAAGAGCGATCAGAATTACCACCATTTCACCGACATCACGTGCTCGGAAGGCCGCGAGTAGGCTTACGTACCGTGTTTACGATGCCTAATTATACCTTTGCAATAGCACCATAAACACACGAGAGCACACACACACACACACAGACATACAAACACACCAACACACACACAAACGCACATACACATAGACCGCCTCGGTGGCCTCTTGGTAAGGAGTCCGCTTTGAGAGATCTAGAGGAGGGTTAATTCTTTTAAAAGCACTAAAACAAAATAAAAAACTAACTTTTTACGTCAATCCAAGTGTAAAACTGCTGAAAGATGAACAGACGATAACGGCTAGCAGTTAATGTTCTTATCCCATGTAACTAATCAGAGCGTTCAATTGTGCATAGTGACAACAAGTTGCTTACATTCAGATTATTCATGCTCGAAAAGGGGTCAAAATCTAAATAAAAAAGTTGCCAATGAAGACCGTTGAAGCAAAGATTCCCTACTACCATCTTTGGTCGAAGCAAAGGTGGCCAAGAGATAGCCTAATGCTTCTGTAAATAATCTCACACCTACACACTAGCAAGGTCCAAATTCCTTTATCTCGCCACCCAAGCTCACAACAAACCCCAAACACCTCCAAAATAAATCAAAATAAAACATTTATACATGTAGTCAATTATAGCTGTTTATTTTGATCTTAAATGACGCAGAATTTATCAAACTTTCACAAGATCAAAAAAACAAAAATTTCATGGAAAGTAACTTTTTTGTCTTTCGAGCCTCGTAGCTCATAATAGCACACTGCGTCTTACAACTGATATTGACCGGGGGAGACAGATATAAGCAAGTTGCCCATGCGGTCCTAAAATTGATAAGAGTAGGCTTCAGCTGCCAGCGAGGCAAACTTCCAAATCGATTCCTACCAAACTGAAAATGCATAATGTGTTCATAGGACCTTATACTGTTGCAAGCGTTGTAAAACAAACAACAACAAAAAACCAAACACTCAAGTAATTTTTTGCAACATTTCTCGAGGAAAATTGTAATTACCATATGAGGACGATTTCTTCTTTTTCTTCAGGTGTCAGGTCTGGAGCAGACACTGACGATCATGGTACATGTACCCCATTTCTATCTCTTGTCAGTCCTCATGATCAGCCCAGTTTTTTGGACGGTATTGTTTGTCATAGAGTATAGAGTTGTTCAGGCTATCTGTGCACGTTGTTCTTAGTTTAAGGTTCTTACACCCCTTTCAACACTGTGACTGTTAAGTTAAGTCATTTAAGGCGCTGAACCTCCAAATTCAATGTCTATCTCCGATAGGACTGGAACAAATGGGTTGAAAGCCTTGTTCTGTGTTTGACTGCTCTTCACTTTTATTTTGAAACATAAAAACAGAAGTGAAGTAGCAAAGGCAAGCCACACAGAACGCCCATACAAATGAAGAATAGGACCTCAACCCTATGTGTACAAAAAAAAGAGGGGGCATTAAAAAATAATTTTAAAAAGTTATCCCTAGAGAATCTTGCCTGTAAAAAGTCAGCTTCAGATCAAACACTTTATTAAGCTTGAGAAGCACATGGCTACCCCTAGTCTGGAAATATGGGCCAACCAAACTAGTCAAAAGTTGAATGACTGAACTGAAAGACATCACTGCAAAAGCCACATATATCCCTACATGAACCAGTTACATATAAAAAAATAGCCTTGAGAGGGGTGACAATGGGTGGTCATATTGAATAGGTTCTACTGTATTTCCTATGCTTAAAATATCAACACATAACCAGAACAAAGCAAAAACTTACGTCTCTTGCCTTGAAATAAAGTTTATTTCACAATTTAAAATAACAAACCAAACAGAACTGTGCGTTCAACTGACCAATTGTTATAAATACCAGGAACAAAAGTACATGAAAGATGATCAAACGTCTATCACTCAGGAACCATATTCAACAGACTCATTCAACTGACAATCTGCTAATGATTAAATCATTTACAACTTACGTGTAGTAAACAATGAATGAGCTTGAGACTGGGGAGGGGCAGGAATTGGGGGATGTGTTAAAACAATGAAATGCTTAGTCTCATAAGCAACGCCAACAAGCCAGACAGACAAAATCATACATTGCAAATGTTTGCATACTTTTTGTAAAAGTTATCCACATACTGGGGTCAGTCCATAAAGCTCACTAGAAAAATATCGACTATCTATGAATTAAAAACAGGCAAAAAAGGAACCCACCTCAAACCTGGTGTTAACAATGACAGCTAAAATCAAGACCAGTCAAATCCATGCACATGCGACAAGATCAGTTTTTAAAAAAAAACAAAAAACAAACAAACTTAATTGACACTTTTCATAAAAACACTAGGTAACTGCAGTCAGTTTGTTGGCAAAGGCCTTTAAAGATTAGTTAGTCGGCAAATGTTTAAAAAGTTTGACTTTATGAAATTTGACGTCACATACTAAAAACACAGAGCTTATAAGCACAATGAAAACCAAACCATGTCACAAGTAAATAAAGAAAGCCCTTAACAATTTTTCAAGTAAACTGCAAACGTTTCAAATGTGAGGCATCATGGTGAAATCAGGTGCACGTCAAAATAGTGAAATCGAAGAAATTGGCAATATTTTTTCTAATGATCTTTTTTTGCCTCAATACCTTTTATATCCACTTAAAAACACATTTTTGAGTGGATTTTACTGAAAAACATTCATTAAAGGCACAAAAGGTGTAAATATTCAGTTTTCAAGGACTCTCAGGCTATGGAAGTTACCAAACCTTGGTGGCCATTTTCTCACTAATTTTACCTCTGAAACAAGGGGACCCTGCCCTCCTTCAATCGCAAATATTTCGACTTCTGTTGAACATAGATTAACATTTTTTTCACAGAAAAGAAGGCAAATGAACAGGCTTTAGGATGATACCAATAACCGCATATGCCCAAATATTGACGAGTGCCTGATTCCACCACGTTGTGAAAGTCGAAATGTTGACACAGTGTAACATAAGTCTTTCGCTAACAAGCTCATTTGGATAATTGTAATTCTGTTAGGTTAATGAGAGTGATAGAACTTGCTATTGGAGAACTAAGGACTACAACAAAATGTCAAAAATTTATCAAGCGACATTATATTCCACTGGAATATAACTATCATTCTCATTAACCGAACAGAACTACAATTATCCAAATGAGCTTATAACCGAAAGACTTATGTTACACTGTGTCAACATTTCGAATCAAACCACAGAGTCTGCTATTGAACACAGTAGCAGTTACTATCAATTAATCGTGTTGATCCAATGAGAAATATATGGTTCATCATTATGAAAAGCTATCTGCAGTTTAGAAAATAATTTCTTTCATTCCTTTTATCCATCTACATATATAATATATGTAAAATACAATGGTTCTGCAATGGGACATTTTTTTTTATTTTGTAAGATCTTACAAATTAAAATACTACAGGTAAGGAACAAATAAACTTCTATTTTGATTAATTCCCTGGTTTAATCCCAGCCTATTTCACAATGATCCTCTACCTTCGGTAAACACACCATCTTTCAGAAAGCTACCCTGCTAACTTCCTTGATCTTGTTTCCTTCTTTTCAGTACAAGGCAAAAGATCCTCTTACTTTGCTTTAATAAAAGGCCAATACCCTATTAGTACATTCTACCTTCAAAGACCATGTCGACAGATTCACATGGAAGAGAAGGCATGACAGACAGTGTGAAGTAAATACTGAGAAAAGGAGCAACCGAAAAGAGTTTCGGCACTCCCGGGAAGGGGTTGTGTATGGTGTCAGTGAGGTGGCTGACCTGCATCCCTCTGCCCATTCATCGAGGCGACCCTTCCTTCTAATTCACTTATAAAACAACTAGGGAAAAACATAGAAACAGATCTTTCTATAACTAAAGAGCAACCCGTATCCGCTTGGCTTCTGGTTCAGCAGTTTCCTCCGACACGGCTTTTTGATTGCTTGTGACCTGCGTCACCTCATGCCCCATCACGGTCTGCACGGGCTCCCCGTCCACAGTCCCTTTAATGAGTATCCTGTTCCCGTCCACAATGTCCATCATGTACGCCTCCTGGCCACTCTGACCACTGTCCACAGGAGCTACCACCGTCACATTTGTGTTTAGAGAAACTCGCTCTTCATCACTGGCTACCGCATGCAGGAGGCTGTCTTCAGATGTGGCAATTTCTGATAAAACAGTCAGATCCGTAGAATGCACTTCACCCTCTCCCATAAGAGGTTGAGATGGCGGGGCGTTCATCGATTCAGACAAAACATCTCCTTCGATGAGCACCTCTTGTTCAGGCTGCTTTTGAGGGTTCACCACTGAAGGCGTTTCAGGAACAGAAGACGGAGTGATGTTTGATATGGAATTATCCCCAATGTTCGAGTCATCTGCGATGACGGAAATACTGTCTTCAGGCGTCAGTGATGGTGATGGAGCTTTGCCCACAATCACATGACCTTCAGGAGTTGTTGTGATTACCTGGTACCCTTCAGGAATGCCACTCAGCTGGGTCATGGTTGCATTAGACTCTAAGTGCTGGAGGGACGCGGCAGAATTGGTTAACTCTACCAAAGAGGTATTAGAGTGAAGATGTTCAGCCGCAGGGAGGCTTTCCGACGAGTTTTCCGAATTCTGTGAGCTTTGCATCTGTTCCATGAATTTCGCAAGTTGAACTCCTAGAGCTTGCTTGTGAATATCTCCTGCACTGAGGCTGTCGATAAAGTCTTGCAACTTAAGTTCACTCTGCTGGGCCACCTGAGACTGGAGTTCCGACACTTGCTGCTGCAGCAACTCCACCTTGAGGATGAAAGAAAGGAAAGGGAAACAAATTAGACCCTGAACACATGGTATGACACATAATAATATAGCGTAAAATGTGTACACAACCAAACTCTAAGGCGAACTGTGGATCACATAGTTGCAATTCGCCGTGTTGGATATTGTTTTGCTTCATTTGCTTTTTTCTGCTGTCATATTCTTTTGTTTTAAGATTTTGTTGATGGTTGGACTACTGTTTAACCCTCTAACTGCCCAATACAATGTGCTGTGGTGTCAAGGCTTATTTAAGGTTTTAGAGTAAGGGTAAGAAAATAAAGAATAGCAACAGAAGACAGCAAATGAGGTACTGATAACTATACATTTTCAGAAAGCTTATGAGTTAAAGAATATTTTTATATTGCTGAGGGTAAAGAAAAAAATGTTTCAATGACCTTGACCGTGACCTACTATTGACAAAGAATGTCAGATTGCATTTTGTTTACAAATGTGTTCCTTTTATATCCTTCAGTTTATTTCCTGTGAATACAAGACCCCTTTTAGAATATTCTACACGTTATCAGCTTTCCAAAAATGTATAGTTATAAAGGTTTTTAAAGTAAAATAGAATTTTTATACTCCTTCATTCATAACATGATATGTCATTTTCTAAAAATAGATTCATGATAATGAAATGGAGTACAGACTTTGCTTCTCTTATAAAAATGATATGAAAACAAATAAGTCACACCGAGTGAAATTTTGTCTCTTATAATGCTACTGTATTGTTACATTCAAACTGACCTTACATGCTCCTCCTCTTGGGAGTTAAACCCTGATCTGTGATGTGCTCTAATAAATAATGGATTACATTTATACAGCGCATATCCACTTATGCAATGCTCTATGCGCTTAACATGAAACATATTATGAAATTACAAATCAACTTTATAGGCACATAGTATTACATACGCGTGCACACACATACTCACACACGCATGCACCCACACACACATACAAACATACATGATAGTTTTTGGAAGCCTATTCCAAACAAGTGGGGCAAAATACGAAAAAGAGCATTGGCCATATGACTTGTAATTTATTTTAGGTTTAACAAGGGTTGTTTTGTCACTTGATGATCTGAGCGTTCTAGGTGGTACATAGGGTGTTAAAAACTGTTTAAGGTGTTTCACCGGGAGCCAGTGTAGTTCTTTTAAAATAGGAGTCTCATGGTCATGCTTTAGTTTCTTAGTCATTATTCTGGCAGTAATATTTTGTACTCTTTGTAGTAGTTGTAACTGATAATCAGGTACACCAGCAAGTATGGAATTGTAGTAATCAAGCATTGACAATATAAGTGATGTTATTGAAGTTTTGGTGACATCAACAGATAGATATTTTCTAATGCTGCCTATTTTCTTCAGTTAGAGATATAGATTTTTACAAAGATTGGATACTATACGCGATTTCATTGACATATCCTGATCTAACACTATACCTAAATTTTTTATTTTAGTTTGGGCTGATATTTCATGGCCATTGAGGTTTTACTGATATAGTCGATTTCATTGCATGCGCTGCTACATATAAATAATATTTCAGTCTTATCCTCGTTTAATTTTTATTTGTTCTTGAGCATCCATTTTCTAATATCATTGATACACCTGGCGATTCTATCTATGAGATTGGGTACATTGTCAATAGTAATGAATACATACAGCTGTTTATCGTCAGCATAAAGATGATAATTGAGGGCATATAAAGAAATTATTGATGACAGACTTAGCCTGTACATTGTAAAGATGACAGGACCAAAGACTGAACCCTGAGGAACTCCATACTTTAGAGGTAACATATCTGACACATCACTGCCAATTTTCACTGACGTAAATCTATTTTCTAGATATGATTTATAAACCACATTAGAACAGTACCTGATAGTAAAAATGAATTTTCCAATCTGTCTAGTAAAATTTTGAGGTCGATGGTATCGAACGTCGTTGACAAATCAAGTAGAACCAAAAACACAGACTTTTTTATTATTGATTTCACTTAAAACATCTGACGATACCTTTAAGGTTTCACTCATGATGGAGAATGGTCTTTGTAGTATTCCTTGAAAATCATCAAAATCATCATTTCGATGACAAGAAAATAATTCAAATATTAGTTAGATCTAGTTCAAGAACTCCTTGAAGTCCACAAACCAGAGAGACCTGCTACTGGCGTTCAAACATCTTGAAGTCAATTAGGATCTCTAGATCTAAATAGAAGAACGGATTTGACAGCTTTGAGATCTCGAACTTCACCAAGTTTCAGAAGCTAAAATCAAAGTAAAAGATACTCTTGGTCTTGAAACCAGTGCGAGCAGTAAAAGTAAACACTTATAAACGGCTATTCAAGAGTAGAACTCGTCAACGTTCGCATTCACATTTTTATGTGTAATATTTCTATGGCATATTGTAGAACGGCATATTGTAGATCGGCCGTCATTGGCCGCAGCACCACAGAAATGACCCTGAAGCCGTCATGACCCCTGGAGGGTTAAACCAAGCATATCTGTCCTAATGCTGCTATAAAAGAACTTTTTAAATTATAGATTTTAAGAGAATGGACTCGGGGATATATTGTAAGCCTGCTATAGCCAGAATCCTGTTGTAACCAAGACTGTTATAAGTAGGGCCCATTGTAATACTTCAGCATCTTTGATTTGCTAGATACACTATAATTTTAAACACAAAAATAATGTTTACTTCCATTATCAATTTAAGATTTTAAAAAGATACACAGGAGTTCCCTTAGAATGAATACAGCTGATCTCCAAAAACAGCAGTAAACTGTAAAAAAAAAAAAAATCCCCAATTTCTCGCTTCTTTGTCTTTGCAAGAAATCTATCAATCAGCCAAAATGCTCCCATTTTTTACACTGAAATGAATTTTGAAGGTGCTTCAAAATAGAGACACACAAGAAAGAGACACAAGAACGCACATGTATCTATGTGGACCAAGGAGAGAGACATTTCCAGTGTGTCATCTACATATGTAAATCACACATCAATAGACCTACACACTGTGCATTCGCCTAGGGATGTAAGGATAGTGAATGTATGTCTGTTAGAAGACCTACAGTTGGTCATGGTCTATTATCTTTGCGAAGCTCGTAGACAAGCTCTACACATGAGGACATGACGGCATGGCATGTGATATGTTTCATGACGTCACTGGCATTGGGATTTCTTTCTCACTTCCCTATCTACTCTTTCTTTCTTCTGTTATGTGTGATTGTTCTGCATATTAAGTAAGCTGACAATGTTGACATGAAAGCACAATGCCTGCAGTTTCAATTGCGAATACTGAGGCAGATGAGACAAAACTTTCAAAAAGTGAAATTTGCTACAAGCAAGACATTCCCAAACTCTACACTGTCGATCCAAGAACTCAGTTAAACTGAAAAAAACCCAACCCCAACAGGCAGTCCCACTGTATTCTAAAAGAAAACAGCAATCGAAAAAAGATTCAGACTCTTACCTGTACTTTATATTCTTGAGCTTTTGCTTTGTACATATTCTTTTCTTCCTCCTCCATCCGAAAGCGTATTTCCCATGAAATGCTTGGATCAAGATTAGCTTTATTGAGTACGCTCAGTTCCTGAAAAAAACAAGGGAGTATTTTCGTAAATGCAATTGGTACAAAATATGTAACACAAAATACTTTTAACATGCACAAGTATTGTTTATGATTATGCCACGTTTGTATTAAAAAAGAACAAAACATAAAACTAACAACAACCAAAAAAACCCTTTCCTGTTCGCAATATTTGCTGACAATTGCTCTATATTTGTTCAATTTCCTACCATTTATTTATATCTATGTCTAGAGCAAGAAGGGGGGAGAGTTCTAACATACACACCGCTGTGCCGGACTGGGGCGACCATCCCCTATCCGGCAGATCCCAGGTGGCGGATAGGGAATGGCCACTGCAAAGGAGGTTAGATGTGAATGTGTTGAATAAGCAGCCCCGGACCTACTGGCGATGCTCTTACCAGGACGGGGTGAGGTGGTAGGTGGCACTACCACGTCATCAAATGCCCTAGGAGTCCTCTGACGGGAGCATCATGCGGAAAAGGACCGCATTAAGTCCTGGTTACGGGTAGGATCCAGTAACAATTCCTCCCTGTGCTCCCAGGGTAGGTCCCTGGACCTGAAGCTGGAGCTATAGTGCTGAAATCAGAGGTATAGGGCCGCAAGGCGCACTCTAGAGAACCACAATGTCACATAATACTGCTATATATGACACTTGAAGTAGGTAACTTTAGATATGGTACTCGCCCTGTGAGGACCCCTCAGGCAGGTGCAGTGCCGGGCCACAAGCCTCTAAGGGGTCCACCCCAGCAACTGGAGGGCCTTCCATCGTCTTGGAGTGCCAGGAGACAAGGAAGAAAAGTGACAGGTAACACAAACACAAAACAGATTTATATAAGGAAAAATCTTAATATCATGCTCTGGAATGCCGAAGGAATCTCAAACAAGAAACATCTATAGTGGCCCTGCCGAGGAGATGGGAGTGCAAGGCCCTCATACAGTACACCAAGGCCACAGCTATGGAGGATCATATAATGCACACAAAAACAGCCAGATCAAACACCTCAAGACTTAAAAGATCCAACTTCATCAAAGAAAACAGATAAATCCAAAGACCCCTACAGGACCATTTACCAGCCACAGTGAACATGCTGAACCCCACCCCAGAGGCACCATCATGGGAAAAGAAAAACACAAACATAATCATACACACGTCCATTCCTATGTTCACCACAAAAGATGACCACAGCGACCTAACCAAGAAATCCTTCACACTGTCCCTGTTTGAAGAAAGATACCCCCGAGAAGCATGGATAAGGATCTATACAGACGGATCTGCCACTGATGGTGTGAAAAGAGGAGGAGCCGGAGTGTATGTACAGTTCCCAAATGGACGACAACAAGCAGAGGCAGTCCCAACAGGGCGTCATTGTACAAACTACAGGGCAGAGACGGAAGCTCTAATAGTAATGCATGCAGCAAACATCATCAAGAATGTGGTAGACCCCCAAAGCCAAGTAGTATTCCTAACTGACTGCAGTACTGCAGGCAATCAGTGCTGGCAAACTACCAAGGCTATGAGAAGTAATTGAGGACATCCCATGTCTGAGGATCATGCTGCAGTGGATTCCATCACACTGTGGTGTCTTAGGAAATGAGCAGGCAGACAGGATGGCCAAACTAGGAGCACAGAAAGAGCAAACAGACAACAGAAATAAAAACTATCATAAACACCCTATTTAAAGCACCACAGACACCAAATAGCTACCATGAGCTGCCCTGTCAAGAACAAGTGATTATCTTCCTACTAAGAACCCAACACACAAGACTGAGACAACATATGTAAAGATGTTTTAAACTAGTACAATCACCAAAATGCCAGTGTGGAGAGGCTGACCAAACTGTTGAACACAATCTTCAGCACTGCAAGACACACAGGGCCCTGAGACAGGAAATGAGGCCAACCCCACTGACACTGCAAGAGAAGCTATACGGGCCGACAGATGAACTGAGCAGGAAGGCCCAATTTAAGACAGATACCAGACTTCAAGTGTGATGCGATCGAGAAGGAGAAGACACTGCTGTGAAGCAATATCATATTGTCCACATCCTTCCCTCCTCCTGTAACCCCACCACCACCAAGAAAACACAAAGTTCTGACAGCTATCATCTGAGAAATGTTCAACCTAAATATATACCATTGATGACTGATAAATGACATCAAAATGAAAACATTCACTCATGTCTATTTGATACTGTTGAAACTTGAAAGTAAATATAATGATATGCCCGTCCCCTCCCCCTTCTTTGTCTTTCCCCCAATTACAGCTTAGACACATTGTAGTGGAAAACCTTCCAGTGGGATCAGACTCAAAGGAAGTTATTTTGAACATTCGAGGTTTTGGGGACAGAACCATTATGACCCATCTGCATATTCATGAGACAATAATAACAAATACCTATAAAGTTAAGTATTCTGTCAGAAAACAAGATGTTCTTTGTCCCGAAAGCCATGAAAATCAAACCAAAGAATCCTAGCCCATAACACATAAAACTTGAAATGTTTCTAACTATTGACGACAGAGAAAGCAAAAGGCCAATGAACAACAAATTCTGACGTCTCTAAAACCTTACCCCGGAATTGATTATATGGCTGGCTAAAGCTGACTCCAACTGATCTCCCTGGATTATCATGATGGTCTGTTGATCCTCATGATCCCCTGAACTCAGGTCTTTGTCTAAGGGTTCATGTTTCACTTTCACTTTCTGAAGTTTGCCATTTGTACCAGTGTCTGTTGTCATAACATCTGAAAAGAAAACCCAGGAGCATTATTTTTGTACAGGAGTTCCGTAGACAGTAAGTCTTACTTCATTCAAAGGCAAAGTACAGTATAACATGGTTAACTCGAATTCGTCGGGACTGGCCTTAGCAGTTCGAGGGATCCGTAGTTCGAGGCACAAATCTTACAAAGAAGAAATAAAACGGGCACAGTTCGACGGATGCATGATTACGAATTGTCTGTGTTCGACATATCAGTGTTATACTGTATCTATGCAACAAATTAATAAACAAAGAACGAGGGTGGATCTGAAAGTAATTAAAGTTGCCATCTAAGGGCCAATATATTGACTTCAGTCGTCATAAAAACAAAATACATAATTAATCTATCACATGTCCACTCTTGAACCAACCATAGTAGTTTTATGTGATGTCATTCTTGATTATTTTATGGTGTCACAAAGGATGGTTTGTGTTCTGGAGGACACAGGACAACGTCAGCAAAAGAAAACATCCATTTTACAAATTTATGCGCTACAAATTTAGCGAATCACCACAACTAATTCATGAACCTTTGCAAAGCTTTAGTGAAAAATCTGCTCATTCACATAGCACAGTATATCACTAGGTAAGAGAATTTAGTTTGACTGTAAAAAAAGAAAGTGTCTTTTATATCATGTACATCATCATCATCATTGCCTTTCTCACCCTGCATCAGGGTATAGGCCACGGACAAACATCCCCCATTTTTCTCTATCCTGGGCTAGCCTCTTGATGTTATTCCATGTCTTCCCACTTTTCTGTACATCGATTTCTGTGATTCTTCTCCAAATTTCACGAGGTCTTCCTCTTGATCTCTTGCCCTGTGGGTTCCAATCCAAAACTTTCTTTGTTATGCAGCTGCCTGACTTCCTGAGAGTATGTCCAATCCACCGCCACCGCCTTCTTCCTACCTCATCTCTGACTGGGATCTGTCTTGTTTTCCTTAACACTTCCACATTGGTGACCCTGTCTGTCCATCTGATCCTCAGTAACTTTCTTAGACACCTGTTCAAGAAAACCTGGATCCTCTTTATACAAGTCTGTGATGCGTTCCATGCCTCACATCCATACAATAGGACCGACTTCACGTTTGAATTGAAAATCCTCAGCTTTGTTCGAAGTGAGATCTCTCTGGTCTTCCAAATCCTATCCAAAGATATGAAAGCAGCCTGTGCTTTTCCAACGCAGGACTTTATTCCAGCACCTGTTCCTCCCTCTCTGTCAATCTACATCATGTTGCAAATATTAAAACATGCCACACAAAGTCTTGGAATGTTCCGGATATAATCCGGGCAAAGATGAGAGGTCACTAGAGATATTTTTAACTGGAAAGTAAGCTAACAAGGAAAAAATGTCACAACAGTAAAAGCTGTAAAGTTTAAGGCATTGCTGAGATTTCTAAACTTCTTTACCTTACAACAACCTCAAAACCATTCTATCTGGAGGGAATGTAAATTCTACCATTCCCTGATATTATCATATTGAATGTTTAATGAAAAGTATGTAAATAGACTCACTTGTTTCAGACAGGCTCAGAGTCTCAGTCAAAGCTGGATGGATTATTTCTTGCACAGGGTTTTCTATGGAAGCGAATGAATCTTGAGTTGTACCTGTTCGATCTTCTGATGGTGTGCGGATGATAGGTGGTGAATTCAGATCCTGTCATGACAAAGAAGACAAGAACTTATTCATAAAGTAAAAATATGGTACAATGGAATGTAAAGAGTTTCCAACAAACATTGCGCTTTCAATCTGTTTTTGTCACTTAATCTCAACTATGACAGAAAATAACAAAGGCATACAAACAAACAGAACAATGTGCATTTCTAGTTACCCTGCCACCCATTCAGAACTGAACAAAAAAAGCCAATATTCACAATGTAATCGGAACTTTGATCAAACAAGTCCATTTACATATCTATTCACCAACTAGTACTGTACAATGAATGTGTGACCTTTTGGTAAAGGGTAAATGGAGACAAATCACACACCTGGGTTATCTGGATCTGAAATGTTGTCTGTGGATTACGAAAATGTGTTTTGTAGTGTTTGATTGCTTCATCTCTTCTGTTGAAGCCATTCCGACATCGATAGCAGTGCCAGTGAGCTCCTTTGAAACGCTTCTCTCCTTTGATGATTCCTATGATGTCACACTGGTCACAACAGCGGAGGATTTTCAATCCTGCAAATCACAAACAGGGGAAAAAAACATACAGTTTCAGACATTCGTTAAGCTTTAAAATTTTAAGTTTTCAAATCAAATTTAAAATTTTTTTTAAATATATACATTTCAAAGGTAATACGACAATGATGAGAAAATTAACTCAACATTTGAAATATGACTCTTACAATTCGTTGAAACCATCCTAAACAATGACACCATCTCGTTAATCAATAAGTCTCAAAGGTTATGTTCAATATTTGATGTTTCTTAGATGTATTAAATTGATCCTTAGCATGTGCCCTGATGGTATCTGCTCATTGTTGCATGATCATCTTATGTCATGGCATCACCAGTAACAGCCAAAAAGGAACGCCACATGGGAGTCGATACAAGAATCTGTCTTAAAAAAGGAAGAGTAAAGGTTGGGGTACCCACAGCACAAAGAAAGAAATATAATAAATTGGTAGACAAGCATTATACAGAAGTTTCATACAAATAGATAGAATGCTCTCTTGTCAACAATGCTGAGCAGAACAATTTTGGCTATTGCCACTCTTTCCAATACATGGCTTTCTGGTAAGTGATTTGAGTCACGACCCAGTGGAATCAGGCGCTTGTCAATTTTTGGGCATATTGAGTTATTGGTATCATAGAAAAGGCTATTCATTTGCATTTGCCTCGCTTTCAATGAAAAATGAATCCATTTATCTTGAATAGAAGTCAAGATATTTGCGATTGAAGGAGGCAGGGTTGCCTGGTTTTAAAAGTAAAATTAGTGAGAAAATGGCCACCAAAGTTGGGAGACTTCCAAAGCTTGAAAGTCCTGGGCAACTGCAAATTTTTATCTTTTGTGCCTTTAATCAACGTTATTCCTTTAAATCCACACAAAAAGTGTTTTTGAATGGACAAACAAGGTGTTGAGCCAAAAATTGAAAATTTGAAAAAATGCCCAAATTGATCGACAAATGCCAATTTCTTGGATTTCATTATTTTTACAAGCGCCTGATTTCACCACGATGCCTCACACTAAAGCTTGAAAATAGGAGTGTTCTATCCAATTTGAGAGCAGCTAAAGTCTCTTAAAAGGTAGAAGATATCTCTGAGACAGATCTCCGCCTCGAACAAAAATCCAGAAGATAGCTCTGATTTCCAAAAGCTTTAGTTTTAAGACTGATCATTCTCATCCATGACTCGAGAAGGCAAATTTTCCTGTTTTCAGTATGATAATAATACCTTTTATGTTCATTTAGCATTGAATCTACTACTATTATCGCTACATGAAGTTAAACCCCTTGAGTCAGGATCTAGTCCATTAAAGTGATCAACAGAAAGACGATTCCATAAGATGCTGGAACAAGTGTCCATTCACACAAAAAAAAGGGCAAAGGAGCCAGAGCCTGCTCACTAATAGTACAACGGCCTCGTGCAACAGTCTTTTAGAAACATCGTGCCAGTGCCTCAAAGGTAGTACGTGATTAGAAAAGTGGGGATCGGGTACAGTTAGGTGTTGGGTAAGCATAACAACAGGTCCATCAACTGATGATGATAAAAATAATGACCGGCAGGGAGGTAATCAAAGATCTGCCACCTCTCTGTGGAAACACTGACCAGACATTAATTAACATACACGCATGTAAGTAAATAGGAAGGCATGGTGAAGCAGCAAAATTGGAAAAAAAGAGTCTTCTGATACTGACAATCCCTGGAAATGATGTGGCCAGCCATGAGAAAATGAATTCCAAAAGTCAGCGAACATAATAATATGGATACATGTAGTACGTTCTTTGACTCACAGACATTAATTAATAAGAATGTAAAAAGAAACACATCTTGTTCAAAATGTCAATATATCAATTACAAAATTTCAAATGAAAAAAGTGTTTTACTTTCTTAGAAAAAGGAAAATACAGAGCACAAAAAAGATAACATTCAAAACCCCATGCAAATCTAGATCTACTCCTTCTATTCAATACCTGCAAAGTCAATTCCTTTGTCGACATGCTTCACTCTGTAATGAGCTTTCAAAATGACAGGATCTTGATAGGCATCGCTTTTGACACAAAAGGGGCAATGGAGATGTGGAGCTTTCACTGGGCACAGCTCATCAAGGCACTGAGTTGGAGTGTACGAATTCTCTGTGCCTTTGATTCGTACACTAGGATGAGTCTGAAATGAGTTTGTTTTTTTTCAAAATCCAGATTTATTAACGAATCAAGCAAATATGAGAAATTTCTGGTTTTGACCCTAAAAGTACTGTACTGGAATATCAATGGTGACTTTGCTCAGGGTTAGAGGTAGTGTAAGGGTTAGGAAGAGTGTGAGGATTAGGGTAGTAATCGTTGGGGTCAAAATTGGATCTCAAAATACAACGTTCTGTAATTAATGGAGGCCTGTAATCATACATTCCAAATTTGTTTTCTTGCAGGAATACACAAGTCATTTCGTCACACCGGTGCAGTCAAGACGTCACAGTCATCTAGTCATATATATATAGTCACTTGGTCACATCCCAAAACCATAAGGATTTCATCACACACTTGCAAACATCATACACACATTGTCCTTGTGGGCGTGAGTGGAAGGACAGGGGGGAAGGGGGGAGGGGTTGCGAGTCGTTGAGCCTACCTGATCAGCAACAATGTTCATAACTGGGTAAGTTTTATAGAGTTGTTTTTAATGAAAGATATTTCAACAGTTGTTTCTACCTTTAGTTCCCAACTTGGTGAGTTTTTTGGTTGTTTTTATTGGTAGGAGGGGTGGGGGCAGTTTTGTTGAGTTGTATTTAATGAAAGATTTCCCCACAGTTGTTTCTGCATATATATTTGCGAGTCGTGCCAACCTGATCAGCCATAGCTTGTTCACTGGAAGAAAATCAAAATTCAAGCAAAGAATGGCGCTTTTTCAGCAGTCCCCCCCCCCCTCCTCCAATTATTATTCGCTGGTTCGGGTCCCAAGAGTCAAGAATAGGGGGCTAAGGGGGGGGGGGTTTATTTATGGGGGCCTTTTATATGGACGGCATGCCCCCCTGAATTTTACATAAATTAGATGTTTTGCAGTTAGGTTGCATCCCTGTTCTTTGTGTTGCCTATTTGGTCATCAAGACTTCCGGACTTCTTCTCTGGAGGGAAACAAAAGGATTGTGGATTTCAACGAAGGGACTACAACTACAACTACAAGATCACCTGTGTGTTTATCGGTCCAGTCAGTTTCTGTATGGGCATGGGCCATGGGCATTGACTGTAGGCCTAGCCTACATAAAGTAGAATTTTGATGTACAGCAACACTTAACTTTGTTACAGCTCAACTTTATTACAGCTCTAGATTCAAGATCTCTAGTTTTTAGATCTAACCAGGAACCACCAACTCGAACTCGGAACTGCCTACTCTCCTCGCCTCTACCGACTGCTTTGGTCTGCAGCTACAAAACTAGATTTCTAGTCTAGATTCAATCAAGCCAAGCACGAGTGCAAGTAGAACCCACCACAAAGGCAAGAGAACTCATCCCGAAATCCAAGCCAACTTGCTTCCTTGACGTTGCCTGTTCGATCCTAAAAGTTTAAGACCGACACAAGTCTTTCAATGAGCAGTCTATGTGGAAGTCACTCCTAACGTTCAAAACCAAAACAAACAGGCACTTGCGGAGGTTGTGTGAACGTCATCAAATATGGAGTACGAAAATTTGGTGACGTCACATAGAGCGCTTATAACCGGAAAAATACGCTTTGCACCGGAAGGAAAGTCAGAGAGATAATACAAAGGCCTAGGCTAGAGATCTCGATTTACACCAAGGATTACACTACTAGGCACTAGATCTAGATTTTAAAGGGAGATAACTCTATAGCACAGACTTCTACACTTAAGTGTAGAATTCTGTCCTCTTTAGAGAGACGTTATTAAAATATCGCTGGCGTCAGTGCATTTTGCAATTCCAAATTAATGGTACAAGATATAGCAAATTATTTTAAAATATAGATTAGTCAGAATTGTGTGGTAGGCAGACAGCTTATAATTTTTATAGACAATGATCGTCTGTCGTGATATTTACGTAGCCTTCAGTCTCTTAAGAAGGAAAATTAATTCTAAAAGCAATATTATTAGATCTAAGCTATTTCGGCTATTAGATCTAGACTATGTTTGAAAGAAATTATTATCTTTTTCTGATTTCTTTTTCTAACTTTACGAAGATTTCAGAAAACCACACTTATATCCATTAGATCTAGTAAGCTAGAGTTTTAAAGCTTGTTCACTTTCGACCATTTCGTTGTTAAACGGGATATCGTATTCTAAAAACAATAGCTCTGTTTACTCTTCTCGTGTATTTGCGTGCTTCTAAAAGTTGAATGACCAACAGTAATGTAATAGTCCACTGCAAAACAGACCTATACACATATAGGTCCCGCGACGTTATCTTTGGCGTCATCCTAACGGTACGTGCGAGTACAAAAAAAAATAACAACAAAAAATGATAGAAATAATGGATACTTAGAGCATGAACCTAAAAAATTAATTAAAGCGTTGACCTATTCTATTATCATCAACAACATGCATTCATAATAATAGGGCCTATAGATCTTGTCCTTCCTGTGAGGGGACATAATAATTAATATTGCATACTATGTGTGTAAGTGTTGGATTAATCGCTCAAGCCCCAGTCAATTCAGGGGCCGAGCACGATATTAATGTACGTTTGGGTCTGTACTTTGGCTTTTTGGGGGGAGTTGTACGGCGCTCGTAACTGCATAAGATCACATGAATGCCAAGGAGTGGATGCGCAAGGAGGTAATTGAGTACATGTAATTGAGATTGCTCTGTGGGCGGTAACGCACGCCTGGCAGTCTGAAGCCCTCCCCTTGCTGCGGAACCATGGACGTCAAACTGCACTACGCGGTACCCGACTCTCGCACTGGAAATCTAGATAGGAAATAGGGTTTTATTCTGAGGTCCTCGGGGTTAGAAAAGTCAGTAGGCTTATTTCATATTTTAAAACACTTTTATCTAATTAGACTTACTATTATTATTGATGTTAAAATGTAGAGGTGTCCTAGCGGCTCCATTTTTTTTAAAATCCAGTCTGCTTTGGCGAATAATTTCTTTGTTAAAGAAAGGTGAAGGGGGGATGGGATGGGAAGAGTTTGAGTCTCCTTTAATAGTAATGTACCCGGTTTAATCTATCACAGTAGTCTCCACCTGAGATCCCATCGTTTATGATCCCGGTTCACTTAAGATTCCGTGGTTTAAAGAAAAACGAAAAAGAAAGAAACAACCCCAAAATAAAAAACACATTTTATTATAGAGAAGTCACCCCTAAGATGCAACTATCCTAAGACTGAAGTTCCTGCATTTAAAGTCATGTTTTACTTAACCAAAAAAAAAACTTAATGGATCATCCACACCTAGGCTTCCTCAGACTGAGGAAGCCTAGATCCACACTCATGATACGATCACATCTCCGCTCTAAATGTCTCGACGAGTGGTGCAATGTTTGCCTCAGGCCTTGGCCTCCTCGGGTAAAAAAAAGAAAAAAAAAAAAAAGGAAACAAAATTACGGTGCCCAATAATTCATAAGCAAAGGCATCATGGTAAACAATCAGTTAAGTCTGATTTTGACTCTCTTTTGCTCAATAATGTTCTTGTATGAAGGCCTTGCTATCTTATATGAAGGTTTTAATTTTACCTATGTTTTCTTGACCTAAAACAACGTAGTCTTTTACGTTCACCGTAACACAAGCTAATTGGCACTCAATTTTAATCATGCAATCATTGTGTCAAATTCAAATCTTTGTGGTATGTTTTAATAACGAATCCTTTTAACAGGATCTTATAGTAAGATATTTACTCTCCTGTCTGTTTAATGATCTTCTGTTACTTGCAAGACACACACACACACACACACACACACACACACACACACACACACACACACACACACACACACAACACACAAACACACACACACACACACACACACACACACACTCTCTCTCTCTCTCTCTCTCACTTCCCTCCCTCTCTCAATTTCCCTTCTCTCTCTCTCTCTCTCTCTCTCTCTCTCTCTCTCTCTCTCTCTCTCTCTCTCTCTCTCTCTCTCTCTCTCTCTCTCTCTCGATCTTTCTCTCTCTCTTTCTTTTACTTTTTCTCTCTCCATCTTACTCTCCCAGGCCTGCACCATTACCTTCACTCCTCTTTTTTTGCAAATATATTATTTGATTATTTATTACCTTCCCTTCTATACCGTAGCCCACTGCCCAGGCCTGCTATCTTTGTAAAAAAAAAAAAAAATTTAACCGCAGTTCGCGCTGGGTGACCATAGTTGGCGCCATTTTGTATGCTCCACTTGGCGTGCTGCGCGCGGTGCCATGAAGAGAGAGAGAGGAGGATCCAATTAAAATTTGTAGTAAGTTGTTTAAAGGTCCTTGGGTGGATGCCAACAGCAGAGATATCCAAGTCCAAACGGAGAATCACTAATCAGGCTTAGGCCTACTCTGCTCACCCCTCTAGCCTTAACATCACAAAATCTGCTTCGACTATCAATAGGCACCCCGGAGATAGTAGTTCACAAGAGATCGAGTGACAAAGTGACAAACATGGGGTACAAAAGAAGTAACAGAAAATTGACGATAGTAGGCTAAGGATGAGGAAAGATCGAAAAAGCAGCAGCACCCCTTAGCAGGCTATATGTGTTCCAGCACAGTATGAGCATGACGATCGATAAACCAGCCCATTTACAATTCTACCGTGCATAAGAACATTTAATAATGATACATCCTCCTTTGGGAATGACCTTAAAACAACTTCAGAACTGCCCTTGGTTGGGGAGGCCCCCCCCCCCCCCCCGGGGGGGGGGGGGGGGGGGGGGGCTATTTGGCTTTTGATTGCTGTCGAGTAGGCTAGTGTAATTCGAGTGTAATAATAGTAACATTGTTCGGTTTTGGGTACAGCGAACACAAAGGAGGGTCGATGCCAGCTTTATCTGATTGTTAACAGTATTGTGTCTTGGTCTATATATAATAATAATATAGGCCTATTATTATATTGATGACAATAATTTTGTTTCCAGTTTTTCACTAAGTGGAGCGCACAATAATTTCAAATATAAAAAAAAGAGAGATAACAACACCTTTGGACTTTTCGAATGAGATCAAAACTTACTATTATTGATGTAGGAATAGAACAGTCTTTGTTAGCTTGTGTCGTTGTGTTCCTCTGTCCTTTCTACAATCATGTTGACATAATATTATTCTACATGCCTCCCTGATAATTTGATGGACATGGGTATGAGTATGAGGCGGGATTGTTGGCTCTACCGAACGAATCATGCCTTGGCTGTAAGCTCAGGCTGTAGGCTCTTATTGCGAGTTCGATGCTCGGCAAAATCAAAGGCGTCGATGAGGAGTTCACACCTGGGCGTGATCCCTTAATTGTCGTAAAATCCTTGCGTCTGGAGAAAACTTGTACCTCGCATCGCGATTTAGAGCGCGAAGATGTGATCCCATGCATGAGCATGAATGACCTTTGAAATATCTCGAGGTCTTTCTTCTGGGGTGTTGTTACAGTGTATACCTTTCAGCCTGGGTTGGCCGTTACAGCCTCTTATAAATGTTAATGATCTAAATTGTGATGCTGGGGGCATAAAAACACTTTCATTCAGATTTTTTTTAAAAAGGAAAACAACACCTGTGAAAACTTCTGTCCACTGCACCATCATATCGGTTCTTACACTTACACACAACACAGGTGGAAGGCATTTTTACTGACTACACGGACTTCAGAATAAAACCTTCTTTCTTATGATTTCAGTGCGTGAGCCGGACAGTTGTGCAGCGCAGGTAGACCACAGTTCTGCTACGAGAGAGGGCTCATATCAGGCTTGCGGTGCCGCCCACAGAGCATCCTCTGTTACTTTTAATCTCCTTGGCCCACCCCCTCAACGTGGCCCTGCCCGGAAAGATTCTATAAAAGGAAAGAACGGCCGCAGTTCGTGATTTAGATCATAGTCGGCGGCCATATTTTCTCCCAACCTCGGCGTGCTGCTCGTGGCGCCGCGAAGAGAGAGAGGAGGCTCCATTAGCTCTAAGGTCCTTGGTGTGTGTGTGTGTGTGTGTGTGTGTGTGTGTGTGTGTGTGTGTGTGTGTGTGTGTGTGTGTGTGTGTGTGTGTGTGTGTGTATATTATATATATATATATATATATATATATATATATATGTGTGTGATTAAACATCAAAGATATAAATTTATATATATAATATTAGCGTTTATTCGGACTGATGCCTGTGTAGAGTGGTACGGCAAGAGTAGTTAGGCTGTAACAGAGTAAAAACAGAATAAGACAAGGCAG